ATATAAATTATATATATGTAACACAGTCAAAGGCTTTAGAATAGTCAATAGCAAATAGATGTTTTTTCCTGAAACTCCCTGCCTTTCTCCATTATCCAGCAGATATTGTCAATTTGGTCTCTTGTTCCTCTGCCTTTTCTAAACCCAGCTTGTACATCTGGCAACTCTCTCCATGTATTGCTGGAGTCTACCTTGCAGGATCTTGAGCATTACCTTACTGGCATGAGAAATAAGGGCCACTGTACGGAAGTTTGAGCAGTCTTTCGCATTTCCCTTTTTTGGTATGGGGATATAAGTTGATTTTTTCCAGTCTGATGGCCATTCTTGTGTTTTCCATATTTGCTGGCAAATGGGATGCATCACCTTGACAGCATCATCTTTTAAGATTTTAAACAGTTCAGCTGGGATCCCGTCATCTCCTGCTGCCTTGTTGTTAGCAATGCTTCTTAAGGCCCATTCAACCTCACTCCTCAGGATGTCTGGTTCTAATTCATTCACCACACCGTCAAAACTATCCTCAATATTATTATCCTTCCTATACAGATCTTCGGTATAGTCTCGCCACCTTCTCTTGATCTCTTCAGCTTCTGTTAGGTCCCTGCCATCTTTGTTTCTTATCATACCAATTTTTGCCTGAAATTTACCTCCAATGTTTCTAATTTTCTGGAAGAGGTCTCTTGTCCTTCCTATTCTGTTGTCTTCTTCAACTTCCATGCATTGCTTATTTAAAAATAGTTCCTTATCTCTTCTAGCTAACCTCTGGAATTGCGCATTTAACTGGGCATATCTCCCCTTATCCCTGTTTCCTTTTGCTTTCCTCCTTTCTTGGGCTACTTCCAGTGTCTCAGCAGACAACCATTTTGCCTTCTTGGTTTTCTTTTTCTTTGGGACGTACTTTGTTGCCGCCTCCTGAACAATGTCTCGGACTTCTGTCCATTGTTCTTCTGGGACTCTGTTTACTAAATCTAGTCCTTCAAATCTGTTCTTCACTTCCACTGTATATTCGCTAGGAATGTTAGTGAGATCATATCTAACTGGTCTGTGTATTTTCCCTGATCTCTTTAGTTTTATTCTAAATTGGGCAATAAGAAGTTCGTGATCTGAGCTACAGCCAGCCCCAGGTCTTGTTTTCACAGACTGGATGGATGTCCACCACCTTTGGCTGCAAAGGATGTAGTCAATCTGATTTCGGTGTTGACCGTCTGGTGAGGTCCATGTGTAAAGCCGCCTTTTAGGTTGTTGGAAGAGAGTATTCGTTATACACAGTGAGTTTTCCTGGCAAAATTCTATCAGCCTGTCCCACTTCATTTTGTTGTCCCAGACCATGCTTGCCTGTATCTCAGTTGTCATTTGACTACCCACCTTAGCATTCCATTCTCCTGTAATGAAAATAATGTCTCTTTGTGGTGTATTATCCAGTAGTCCTGCAGATCCTCATAGAACTGATCTACTTCTGCTTCTTCAGCAGCTGTGGTTGGGGCGTATATTTGGATCACTGTAATGTTGAAAGGCTTTCCTTGTACTCGAATTGAGATCATTCTGTCATTTTTTGGGTTGTATCCAAGCACCGCTTTAGCGAATTTCTTATTAATTATGAAGGCTACTCCATTTCTTCGATGTTCCTCTTGTCCGCAGTAGTAGATCTGGTGGTCATCTGATGTGAAGTGGCCCATTCCAGTCCACTTCAGTTCGCTGACCCCCAGAATGTCTATCTTTAGTCTTGACATCTCGCCAATAACAACATCCAATTTGCCCTGGCTCATAGATCTTACATTCCAGGTTCCTATGGTGTGTTGATCTTTAGAGCATCGGATTCGTCGTTCACCTCCAGTACCGTCGGCCGCTAGCCTTCCTTTCGGCTTTGAGCTAGCTGCGTCATCACAGCTGGGGCTAGTTGAACTTATCCTCTGCTCCTCCCCAGTAGCATTTTGGCCATCTTCCGACCTGGGAGTCCCATCTTCCAATGGCATACCGACATATCTCTGGTTGTACTGGTCCATTTAGTTTTCTTGGCAAGGATACTGGAGTGGTTTGCTATTGCCTTCCCCAGGGATCACGCTTGGTCTGACCTCTCTGCCCCAACCGTCCCGTCTTGGGTGTCCCTTCACGGTTTCGCTCATGACATCATTGAGGTGCTCAAGCTCCAGCGCCCCGACAAGGCGGCGATCCTTTGCTGGAGATGTCAGTAGTGTAGTAGAAATCCTTTGCTGGATGTCAGTAGTGTAGTAGAAATGAAGCAATTTTGTTATGACGTGAGTCATTTGTATTGTGACTGCAATACAATGATACATATTGGAGACAGCCAAGATTCAGGAAATCACGTATTTACATTTTGCTGGATCCAGTTGTCCTGTGGGCTACAGTGGATCTTGATTGTGGATTATAATTTCATTCAGAGACTGGTTTATCTCTATAGATCATTACGCCAACTACTGCTTAGGAGTTATGGAAGCAATAAGGATGGTACTTCCCTGCTCTCTTTTCAATCATCCAAACAAAAGATATCCATGACTCTTGTAAATTGCAACTCTAAAATAATTTCCAGATATTTCAATAATTTGGCCTTTTAATGATCTACAGTGATAAATCATGTGTTCCCATAATTTCCTAAAACTTGCCTTTAGTGCCATCAGTGCTCTATCTTACCAGATTTATGAGAAACAATTTTAAAGATCCCAGGGAATATTTCTGCAAGTATATAGGCTCAGGGGAAACTGGGCATATATTTTCTCCCATTTAGTCTACCTACTGTCAGCCACACTTGCCTTTCAACACCTAATGATCTCTACTGTCCACTCCTGAGAATAATAATAATCATAGCACACTTTACAAGCCAAAAGCAAACTACTGGGTGAATGGTAAAGCAAATTGTAATTTTAACTTGAATATTATAAAGCTCTTGCTGTTTTTCTCTCTCCCTTACAATCTTCTATTCTGAAATTTGATCACTGCTTCTACCGGGAGGGGTGTGAGCATGAGGAGAGAGGAGGGAACAGCCAGTGAGAGAGCAAGAGACGTCGCAAGTGTGGAGCTTGCTGCCTTTAGACAAAGCAGTCTGCTGCATCTCTCTGAAAGGGACACATGCTTCCCGGGAAAAGACCACAGTCTGTTTGCCGGCTTATGGAGTAGCAAGAAAATTGTTCTGGACAAGGAGAGACTTTTTGGCCAAGCGAGAGCTGCCTTCTTGGATTCAGGGGATAGCTGCTGTCCTTTTGCCCAGGCTTTGTCAGAGAAGGGAGGAGGAAACCTTTTGTGAAGTGCTGCATCCCCGGTGCTGCAGTATGCATTAAGATGGTTCGCCAGCTTCTGAGCACTCATTAACACTGACTTGCTTAACAGAAGATCTTTTCTGCAAGACAGTGCAGCAAGATTTCTGACTCTCCAAATTGTTCAGATAATAGCCAGCACTGCATTGTGTAGGCATTTCAGAAGGAAGGGGCGGGGGCTGCTTTAAAATGTGCAGAACTTCTGATAACCACAGGGTTCAAAGGCTGCAACCCTGCTGTCTTCATCAATATTTTGCAAATGCCCTTCAAAGACGGACATGCTAGAAAGGCTGAGAAAATCCTGCGTGACTTGCATAACGATTCCTCTGAGGACAGCAAGGACGTGGGGATTTGAACTTTCCTTGCCACCGCGAGTGTCTTCAGTTCTGCACAAGGAAAGTAACAAGTTCCTAGACTCTCCTTTTAGGTGTAAAGAAAAGAAGAGTTGTTTCGTATTGCTTCTGCGGGGCCCTTGAAGAATATATTTCTGCTTAACCAGCTGAAAAGAGGTGCCAGGATATATCTAATCCTACCTGCAGCAGAGAAAGAGGGGAGGGGGTGTGTTCATCCTGTTTGGCTTCTCCCTCTTAAATCACGGAGCTAAATGCTTTGTTCTGAGAGCTGCTGGTAACCAGAGTATGAAATGTAAAGGCATTGCTTACTTTTAGTGGAAGAAAATGAAGGACTGGCAAAAAGAAGTCAACAAAGAACTGGCAGAAGCAGCTTTGTTAGGTGGAAAATGAGCTGACCACTGACCTTTTTTGCTTTGACTGGATACTTCCTTGTAGTTATTTGTTTCAGTCTAGATGTTGATGCTGTTTCCAAGCGTAGTTAAGTCAATACAAACTGTCAGGATGTCATGCATCTGGATAGGTGGCGAAATGACAGTGGCAGGACTTTCAAGCCAAGGCTTGTTGTCACTCATGCCTGTGCTCCTTGTAATAAAATAACAAAGAAAAGCCCTTACCATGGTTTGCCTGTTTCGGGACTGTTGGGGGAAAAAAAGTATAAATCTTTATTCTTCTACTGCAGTTTGTGTGTCTTTTTTTATTTGTCTTGCATGTCTTCCTTTGGACAGCTGCTCACTAATCTGGCTGCTGCTGCTTTTCTGAACACCCATCGTGTCTGTTTGTCTCTCTCAGCTGCATGAAGATGTATTTTCTCTCTAACTGCTTTGCACCTCCAGTGCTAACAGCCTTCCTTACTGGCCTGTTGTACAAGGTAATGCATCAGAAGTTGCATGGATGCAAGCATCTGCTGGGCTGTGTGTATTTGTGAGCTAGCCCTCTCTTGTCTCTCCTGCCTGTAGCTCTGCCTTGCAATGATGCCTTGGAAAATGTGCACCCCCCTCTGATGAAAACAAGGAGCTGACTGAGATTCTTGTGAGGTTTGGGCTCTTATGCCTGGCGAGGAACACACTCGAGCCAGGAGATCAGTGCATGTCGTGCCTTGGTCCCAGGAATGGTTCTGAACAGCTCGGATTCAGAGTTTGCTTGAGTATAACTGGGAGACTGATTAACACTCTAGTTTGGACAGGACAGAAGCTATATTGTTCATGATTTATGTACAGAAGAAGAGCTGCCTGTCAGCTGATAGTTGCACTCTGGCTCTGCTTTGTCTTCTTTATGGTAATGACTATGATGTGGCAATGCCACCTGTCTTCCTCAGAGTGCCGCTGCTACCGTCTTAATGGGTTTTCCTTTTTCAAGCGTCTGCCGATTCCTCTCTCGTCAGGTTCGCGGATGCTGGAGCAGAGTGTTGGAGAGTGGCTGGAATCCATCGGTTTACAGCAGTATGAGAGTAAACTGCTTCTTAATGGCTTCGATGATGTCCGCTTCCTGGTAAGTAGCCCTGCACTAATCTGTCAAAGGTTTCTGTTGTCCTTGTAACTTTTGAAGGTACTGTTTTGTGTTTGGAAAAGAACTTAACAAATTCAGTCTCAAATAGTTTTAACTAAAATAAAGCACAGCACAAATTGTCCTGGGAGACAGGTTTCTATGTTGTCTTGTTCTTAGATAGAGCTGTTAGCAGTGTACTGTCAGATCCAGTTAAATAAATGAAAGACAAGGACAAATTCTTCTGACTATTTCAATGAGTAAAAACACTGTAAACAAAGGTCTTCTTTATAAAATGTTGGTTCTCCAGTGGCATCATAAAAATCCAAAACTTCTATAAAACTCTCCTAGACAATGGAACAAGATTTGTGTTAACTTCTGGAATGGGATGGATTAGATTGACTTGTAGGGTTAAGCTATTAAGTAAAAATGGAAAAGATTGATATGCCAATATCTAAATTATTTCTTCAAGTTTGTTTCCACATCTTTGAGCATTTCCCCACATCTTCAGACATTTGGGGCAACCTGCAGTTCATGTTGATGTCATTTTTGAGGTTGTTTTGAGATTATTTTTGTTGCCTATTAGGGAGATATTTTGAAATTCTTCAACTGCTGTAGGGCTATGTTGACTATTTGAGACGCAAATCTCAGGAGCTTGTCTCCTAAACTATCCACTTACTTTATCACAACGCTTCTCTGTTTCCCCACTTTGCTCTTTGGTGTTCTGATTGACTAAGAGCAAGATAACAGCTTTCTTTCTTTCTTTGGTATTATTATCACTTGCCCTCTTAGTGCACAACATTGTGCAATTAGTATTACTGAACACTGGTTGCCCTGGTCAGTACTTAACTAAATTATATCCTTTCATTCTCTGGCAGTGGGCAAAAATGGTTATTTATGATAAAATCCTTGCTGTGCATGTATAATGATCTATCAACATTCTTTAGCAGGTCAGCTTTGGGACAAAGCAAGGGTTCATCACCTCCTTTGTTGTGCAAAATGAACATTTTCAAAGTATGGTAGACTTTTAGCCAATCTGTATATATCACAGCAGGTACAAAGGATTTAGAATTGCTTATGGGAGAAGGAGTTTCAGCTTGATTTTTTCTTCTATTAACAAACTTCACAAGGAAAGCCACAATTCAGAGAAATAGCAGTTCCCAGTTTGAAAACATGTCAGTTTTCTCTCCCAAAACATATCTTATAAATTCTGGGTCTCATAAACATTGAAATCTACCTTAAAAGAGTAAGCTTTGCTCTTTCACAGGAGAATGTTGTTTTGGTGCAGATCTCTTCGAAAGGTATCTCTATTCTTGAGTGATCACTTTATAAAATAATATGGACATTGCAATATTGTTTTTGCTAGGATTTTCAATAGCTAGTTGGGTGTGTACCTTTCTATGTGCAAACTATATTTGGTTAAAACATTTTAAAATACGATACTGCTATTTTCTTATTCACTTTTTAATGTGTGTGATAAATCACTGGAATTGGCCTACCCCAAAAACATGAGCCATAGTGATGTTGTTTGCAGTGGTTAAAAAGAAGTATGTGGAAGGCAAAATTTTAGCTATAATTGCTAAACCTCCTATATGCATTTAAGTTTAAATGAAATATAGGTAGATGTTAGTATTCAGGGTGTCCATGACTTTACTGTTGTCATCCATTGTTATCCACCTTTAACCTTTAGAAAAGCTGGATGCATTTTAATAGTATCCTTTTAGTTATAAAAGGAGGAAAGAGAGATAAAATGCATACATGTACATTTCTTGTACATGTCTATAGAAATACTATCTATTTCCAAGACCTTCAAAAAGTAAGTGAACCAATGTAAGGGGAAGTTTGCTACCCTATTCCCTTATCTCCACCATGGTAATCAATTACATCATTTTGGTTAAAAGAGTATTCCAATCCTATGAGTTTCTGCCTCTGCTTCTAGGAATATATTTGAAGGAAGTAATTATGGAGTGAAATTCTTGATCTTCACAGTGCTATATACATCATCATATTTTGTCCATGAATGTTATAACAGGTTTAATTTAATTTTATTGTTATTTGTAGTAGTAGTAGTAGAAGAAGAAGGATTTTCTTACCCATCTCTTCCTACAGATCAGGATGGGGAACAACACATTGAAATACAATAGATGGATACGAGCTAAAAACACAGGACACCACTTAAAATATATAACCAATTAAAAAGGCATATAATTAGTTAAAAGAGCATAGGATCTATAACACAATCAGCTCATAATTTTATAACCCACAGTTGTAAATCTCCTGACTTGACCTGTCAGAACTAAGGCCTAGGTCCAACATAGTGATGATGTTGTAGGACCAGGATGACAAAACCTCTTTCCCTTGTCTTCTTCCCTAGAGAAGGGAAGAATTTTCCTGTTTTGCCAAAGGAGATGAAGAGTTTGACCCTGCCCTAAGAATGGGAGATCAAGACTACATTTGGTTCCTAAAAAGTTCATGGGAAACTGTGCATTTCTGTGGCTAATTCTCTAGTTCTGAAGTGCTACTTCTAATAGCATGAGTAATTTCAGGATAGAAAAATATTCCAAAGCTGTAATCTTCCCTAAGGCTCTTTCATTCCCATACTCACTTGCAGTTCCCTCGTCATCTCTAATGCAGTAAATTGTATAGAGGGCCTTGTGTTGTGGCTTTGGTCTTACAGAAAAGATGGGTTCTGTTACCATAATGATTTTCTTTAGGCTTTGCCTCAAGATATGCAGCTGCATTTTGAATGTGGCAAGAATTGCAAAATAACATTTTGCACTTCATTTGAAATCACCCCTCCCCCTGGATGATATGATGCATGGTTTACAATACGATCCCCTATGCAAGTTATTTATTAGACTTTGTATGATTGCACTAGAAGCCCATTATTAGCATTCCATCTGTTTTAAATCTGTTGATACAATAACTTTAAAACAGCGTCAATAGTAATGCAATTCTTCAAGCGTTAATAGTATTATCATCAAGATCTCTTTTCCCCAGAAACCATTCATTTGTTCTTCCTTCCATTTTATTCAAATACTTAAGATGAAGCCAAATAGACTAATGAATCACTATTTTCCTTGTTAACTTCTGCAATTTCCAAGACTTCCCTCGTTTGTGATTTTATTTGAATTAACCTGCAGGAAATACAACTGAGTTATATTTTTAAAGAAAGTCTGTATTTTCTTCCTTGCACAGAACCTGAACATATATCTAAGCTGTCAGTTATTTACAGACTACAGTTATACCTGCCGTCACAGTTGATCAAACTATGATAGTTCAAAGCCTTTTTGTTGATAGATTTCCCAAGGGTTCAGACAAGTGCCATCTTCAGCTGGTTTGGGAAGAATACTCTAGAAAGAGCTGTTCTTCCTTCTCATATTTTGCCAGCACATTTTTTAAAATACTTTTTTTGTTGTACAAAATAATGGGTTCAGTAAAATGGTGTGATGCTCAAGAACTGGCACAAATTGAGAGTTACATTAAATCTCACTGACAAGACTAGCAAAGCCTGTGGAGTAATGGTCCACACTTTGCCAAATAGGCTATTAGGCTAATTGTTTTAGCAATAAACAAAATTAACCTAGTCCATTCTGTGTTACACTTTTTAGTGCAGCATCCAGAATAAGTGACAATGTTGTTCTTAAGATGCAGAACTCTGCAGCTGCATCAGCAGTTCAGCAACAGAACAGGGCACATAGGAAAGTTATGTAATCTATTTTGTATGAAAAAACTAGACAAACATTTAAGCTATAATAAATACTATAGTATATCTCAAGTATCACAGAAAGTAAACAATAATACACTTTGCCTCCCCAGTGCTGCCCATTTATGGATTTCTAAACTTGGAGTGAAATTAGAAATAGCTGTAATTCTGACGATTTAATAGCTGAGGCCTGAAGAGTTTTTTTTTTTTTTTTTGGCAAGGCCATAAAATTGTATTTTACATAGAGCTGTGCAAACATTAATAGTGCACAATGACTCTTCTGCTTCATCAGCTTCCTGATGCATACCTTTATACAAACTGAATGTGATTCTTCTCTGGCTATTAATATTTCCCATATGAAGAATCAATACAATTGTTAGAAAAAGTGACATGCAAAGTGGTACCTCTTAGATCCAGTCACTGAAAATACAGGTTATCCAAGGTCAACCATATTCCAGTTTTAACTGGTCTATTTTGTGTAGGATAGACAATAGGGAGGGAGAATAATTAATGAAGGAATGCATGATTGGATTATATCAGTATGATTCTGGAAGTTGGTGAATGAAAGACATGTTTCCTTTCTCCTTCTTCCCAGGGCTGTTGCCTGCATGGTGCCCTGTGCTGCAAGGATTTGTGCTAGGTGATGTAATGCTTTAAAGGGTTTCTTGTTAGTTGTTCTGTCTGTCTGTCTTCCATGATAACAGTGTTATAGTTTATTGTCATTTGTTGTTATTTGTGTTGTGTTTGTATGCTTTCTTTAGCGCTTACTGTTTATAGCATATTGTTTAAAAGCTGCCCCCCACCCCATCATTCTTATAGTTATGAAAAAAGCATGGAAGTGAATGCTTTTTGTTTCTACCGCTTTACAGGGATGGATTGCTTTTTTGGATATAGACACCTATCTTACCTGACCCATCAGTTTACCAGTTTCCATGACCATATGGGACCCCATGTCTTGGAAAGATGTACAAAACGGATTTTATGTAACAAAATAACCAATAGAATTTCTGACATATTCAGAGAAAAATTAAAACTTCTATTTCTAAACATGGTATACTTCAAAGCAGTGATTTAAATACATTCACAGCCCAGAAATTTTTGATTTGGTAATCTTTGGACTGGAATACTGTGGCATGCTTTGGGGACTTTGAAAAATGATTCAGGAACTTAAATGTTGTCATCATGTTAATGCCTAAAACCAATCAAAAAAAGACTGGGTTCCTCTTTTAAACTTGATTCTAGTTATCCAGGTTTTAACCAACTTAAATCCCTGCATAGTTTAGAAATTGGATGCCTTGAT